TTTAAAATGTCGAGCTTTTAATAAATAATTATCTGAATCTTACACCCAAAGTTTTAATCTGATGTAAAATGTATAGAAGTCCATTACTGTATATAGTAACTGTTAAGTCTAATATACCCTAGTAAGCTATAGTACTTTTTCCTTTGGGAGGACCATCTGTGCAGTCTGCAGTTCTGTTGAAGAAAGATGTTGAATCTATTTAATTATTCTTGAAAAATAATTGATTTCTGTGCATTTTTTTTACACTGCATAAATTAAAGTTGATTACGTCGATTAAGCATCACGAGGCGGAGGTGGGGGTGGTTCCCTTTATTTTTTTTTTGGGGAGTTTGTCCCTTTTAATTTATTTTAGTTTTTTAGTTATTTATTTTATCTTATCTCATTTTAATTTGCTTTTAGCATGTACAGCACTTTGTGAACTCTGGTTTTATGTTAAAGTGCTTTATAAATAAAGGTGGTATGGTATGGTAAAAGACTGGAGAAAATGAAAGCCTCTTAGTGGCATCACCAGCTTTCACAGAAACACAAGTCACACGTGAGGCACTTCCTCATTTCAGGTTCGATTTCTGGGCTTGAGGATTTTTATCTTATTAGGTGCTGTATAATAACGACTTCTCTTGTCTGCTTGTGGCACTTCCATTGATTCTCTTCTCACAACTCTCTGTACTAGAAACCATGACATCAGATGCATGTCGCAAACTTCTCTCTACACACTTTGATGTACTTCCCCATATGATACAGAATGAAAGAAACATACAGGGAAGGGTGAATAAAATGTGGATGTCAGTTTGTGCATCATGTCTCCTGGCTAAAAGAAACAATCACAATCTTTCAAACGTTGTCCAACCCTGGTCATTTCACCAAGCATGAAGAGAACGGTAATAGCTACAGGAATGTCACTGCAGGCACAAGATTCAAAACTCACTGCAGAAAATACATTTATGGTCCCAACAGGCTCAATCCGCAGGGTCTGAATTATGTTCTCTATGTTATTTAAAATAAATGAAAAATTAAACTAAAATTAAAGAAAATTGCTGTAACTTGTTTTGTTTTTCTACAGTCTTAGAAATTCTGTGACAGCAATTTTGTTATTTTATTTAACTGGATGCAGAAAAGCACATGCAGATCTGGAAAATGTAGTGACGATTTTGCAAAAAGGAACAGACATGCATACATTTCAGTTCATTAAGCTGGTTAACTGATCTGTAAATAATTCCAAACAATCTACGGCAGATGCAACATAGCAAAGCAGTAAAGCGGTTTCACGCTGTACAGCTTTGGTATTAAATAGATTGGGTACTCAGCCGATATCTAAGCAGACTGACTGCCATTTGTCAGTGATGCTTCTGTCGCACTGCGCCTTGCCTAAACTGACCAAGCAGAACTAGTCCAACCCGTTGCAATTCTGGACCATTTGCTTGAGTCATTCTCTCTCTGCACATGACTTAGCAGCAAGTTAAGCTCTAGGAGTTCCCATAATGACGGCGCATTTCAGCAAGCTGGTAAACACCAAAGTGGTTATTATTGTTTCATCATTTCATTTGTTTTCTTTTCCTTTTTTTCAGAGCACAATTCACTGATGATTACTTAGATGATATACATAAAGGAAAAGTTCCCCAGATAGAGATTTAGATATGGACCTCAGTCAGGAGATCCCGACAAAGGCAAAAGCGGACTGCAAACTGACACATACACACAAATCGCCTGTAGTTACGGCTAGCTAAAAGAGTGTGAAGTGGAGCAAAGGTTGGGACATTGAGTCAATGCAGAGAGTGGCTGAGAGAGACAGTGTGGACAACTGTCACACTGAGTCAGAGTAATAACAATATGATAAACCGCTATGTAGATGATCCTCTGCTCCCCCACAGTGACGCCATGCATCATCTGCAATAATCTGCAGTTTTCTAAATAATAATCCACAACTTCGCAGAAAGAAAATGTACAGTATTTTCTTGATCTACTGCTAGAAGTACACTGATGTGAGGTCATGTTCTGTAGTGCACTGCAGGCAAACACCACCACCAAATACAAGCAAACAAAGTACAGTTAGTACAGTGTTTATCTAAAACCCAAATACCTCTTAAGGTGAGCCAGCTACCACAGATAAAAGATGACTTTACACAGGTGTTCCTGAATGCATAGGTGCTATAAATCATGCTAGTATGAAAAACCTATCAACGCACATTAACTGTAAGACAGCTATCCCTAAAGAATCTCCTCAACATCTTTCTTTCCTGTCAATTGGTCATTTGTTCAAGTGATGTGACTTCTGACTCCTTTGTTCGAGGAATGTGATTTGTCCAAACGTTCCCAAGGGTACACTATGAGTTTTTCCACAATAACAAAGTCACCAAATGTGACAAACAGTCTAAGAGCCAAAAATTTTATACCCCCCTTTTTTTTTTTTAAAGTTAGATGGTTTTTCCCCCCAGAGCAGATTTTTTTTAAGAAAGGGAACACCCTTTGTGGTTTTGGGAACGCCACATATTTAGAATCCTATTTAGTTCATCCTAAATCCACCCTGCGATAACCAAACCTTCAAGCTAGAATCTGCAATAAATAATGAACATACATAAGATCAGGCTGGTTTTGGAGAACCCGCCCGATACCTGCCAAACAGTTTGAAACGCTGTGGGTACAGAGATCTGACGCCCTTTGAATGTACTAAAATGTATTTTGTATGAAGTTAACCGATAAAAACTATCCATTGGTTAATTTACAGAATAACTTCTTTGCAAGTAACAGTATAAAAAAAATGTGTAGACTGCACAGCCTAAGGCACTATACGACCTCAGCCTGTTGGGACATGTTTTATGTAGAAAAACAGACTAAAATCCATCCGTTCTAAAGGAGGGAAACAACACAAAACTTCCTTGTCCCACGAAATGGCACAGTTTAAAAATAACTACAGATGCTTTCAATATTTCAAAGAAGACAGATGCCACTAAAAAAGAAAAAAAAATCAGCTGAGAAATTTGTTGGCTCACTAACCATCGACACGTATTGCAAGCAGCCTTAACAACACAGCGCTTCCTTGCCCAGGTTCACTGTTCGGCTTCCAGGTAAGACGTTCCCAGGAAAAGCGGTGTATCTCGCGGATGTGTTCCTGCCCTGATCCTGGAAAGGCTGGAACATAAATGCCGTTTCGCCGTGTGCTTGGCCCTGAAGCTCGCAGGCAGTTGGGGAATGCGGAAAACACCACCACTATCCACACTTTGATGTCATGTCCGATTTACCGTAAATACGAGTTTAGCGACCTGGAGAGGCGTTCAGGGCACCTACTAAGAGTCAATAAAGTAAAAAGCTTTTTGTTAACTACATTTCACGTCCACCCGTCACATAACAGGTAATAAGAGAAAAATTTCCGGTTTGAAAACACCTTCAAAATAAAGGCGGAAACTACAAATTAAGTTTTGAGGTGTTTCAGCTTTATAATACTATTCAGTGGGCAGAGTAATAACGAAATATCAATCCATTCATCTAGTTTCTTAATCATTTATTCAACTGATTTTGAGTTATTTGGGGAACCTCTATAGAGCCTAGGACCTAACCTATGTAAGCGGCCAACGTCAAGATTCAAGATTCTTTATTTGTCACATGCATAGTTATAGGAGTACAACTGAAATGAAATCTGTCCTGAAACACTCCTCGACTGTGCATAAAGAGGACATCATATACAGTAAGTAGTGAATTATATACATTAAGTAAATTAAATAAAACAATCTGGAAATTTGAAATTAAAAGTCTGAAAATGTGTGCGAGTGGAATGTGTCTTGTGCCATATTAGCACCGCAATGTACTGACAGAGCAGTGCAACATACAACATAGTGACCAGAGTAGTACAAACGGATCAGTTGCGGTCCTAGCCTATTTAGCGCCCTGGGAGAACACCCCCTCTGCCTACTAATTAATGTTATGTTGTTGTATCTCTGTTGTGGTCAGTGCTATCCTCTATGCTGTTGCATGCTGGCGCAGCAGGTTGAGGGTCACAGATGCCAACAGACTAAATTAACTGATCCACAAGGCCAGTAATGTTGTGGGGGTGGAGCTAGACTCCGTTAGGGTGGTGTCTGAGAGGTAGATGTTGTCCAAGATAAAGACAATGTTGGATAATACCTCCCACCCACTCCATGACATGCTGGCTAGTCACAGGAGCATGTTCAGTTAGAGACTGAGATTAGCAAAAAGCATCACTGAATGACACAGGAAATCATTCCTGCCTGTGGCCATCTCCCTGTACAACTCCTCCATCTAACACACTGTAAACACTGCAATTACATCCTTTTTACACACGCTCTTTTCTACTCTGGAATATTCTCGTCAATTTTCTTGTAATCACCTCTGTTAATCCTTGATATTTATAATTGAGTGATCTGTATATATTAATGCTATTTCTTAAATGTGTAAAATCTGTAACATAATGTATTGTTTGGAGTAGTCTGTTACTATTACAATTTTTTACCATTTCTTCTTGGAGCAACTGTAACCCACATAAATTCCTTGGGGATTAATAAAGTATTCTGATTCTGATTGCTTCAGGATGACCTGCCATTATCCAATCACACATCTGCTTACCTGCATCTTTTGCTCATTTCTCCGCCTCTACTTCTTTTTTCTAAACTGAGCACCTGATGGCTTTGAACTTTTCTTGTCCATCTTCCATAGGTTTTAATTTTGCACTCCAGTAGGAACACCCATCCCCCAACCCGAGGATCACCACAACATAACATTACAGACCTACACCTTAGTTCACAGATTCACTTTGTCTAGGGTTTATTTCTGGGATATCGCACAACCCAGGATTCAAATCATGAATACATAATGGGCTTGGATTTACATCATTATGATTGAAATGCGCTCTATCTGGAAGCAGCCGGCCCCTCCCCTTTCGACGGGTTGTGTGTGAGACTTTAAATCATCAAACTGAATTATAAATTTTAAATTGTTATTGATCCCTTTATCCCGAGTACTAAAGTGTATATTTATTTTCTTACTCTTATTATATTTATTGTTTGTTTACTTGCACTGCTGTAACTGGAGCCTCGTCGTCTCGTCTCTCTATATACTGGACTGTAGCGGAGATGACAATAAAGTTTACTTTGACTTCAGCAGCGAGCAGGCGCACCGAGGGCTCTCGCGCTCACTTTTCGCATATAGAATTTCGAAAAAACATCGATGCAAATTATAAGTCTGTATCATGATGTCTGGTGTTTTCCTGTTTGTTGGTTTGGTTTTATTTTTTTTTTATTTTGCGGGTTGGTTATTAGATGCTGCTCCAGCCAGCCTGAGACTCCCCCGCCGCCCCGCCCTCTCCTCCCTGTGCCGCATGCAGCAGGTGCACCTCACAAACGGAGGGCGCCCTTACTCCCAGCAAATGGGCGACAGAAAACCGATCGGTGCCTATGCCATTCCCAATCTGCGCTGGCATGACGTCGGGGCAGCATGAGTACGAACAAATTGTTTTTTTGTTTTTTTTTTGACGATGCCCCTGATGCCATCCCCCACCACGATGCTGCCCTGGGCAACCGCCCATGTCGCCCGTATCAAAAACCGCTACTGTACGAGATAATATACACAGTAGTGAGGCCAAGAAGAATCAGCCATGATATGAGATGACCGTGAACGTTCTGGAATGTGGAAAGAATAAGTCCTGTCTCCGTCACTTATGGATGTTTTTGGGGGGGTGCGCATGTTCTGATTTAGGACTCGGAGGGCCTGAGGGTAGAAGCTCCTCCTGAGCTTCTCTGTTTTTGCCCAGGTGGTGCAGAACCTTCTGCCTGATTGCAGAAGTTGGGACAGATTGTTGCTGGGATAGGATGGGTCCTTCAATAGCTGCTCTAGACCAGCATCTCCTGGTGTAGATGTCCTGTAGGGAGGGAAGAACAGTCCTGCAGCAGCGTTCAGCCACACAGATCACTCTCTGAAGAGCTTTCTGATCCTTAACACAGCTGTTCCCATGCCAGGATGCGATGTTATGTGTAAGGATGCTCTCCACAGCACCTGTATAGAAAGTCCTGGGGATCACTGGAGAGACCCAGGACTTCCTCAGTTGTCGGAGATGGTACAGGCGCTGCCTAGCCTATTTGGACTGGACCTGAATGTGAGCAGACCATGTCAGGTCTGAGGAGATGTGGACACTGAGATACTTGAAGGACCACACCCTCTCCACTGGAGCTCCGTTGATGATAAGGGGCTTGTAGACTCTATGCTTACTCCTGAAGTCCACCACCAGCTCATTGGTCTTGCAGATGTTCAGCTGGAGGTGGTTGTCCTGGCACCACGATGCCAGATTCTTCACCTCATCCAAGTAGGCTGCCTCACCGTTGTTGGAGATGGCGCCCAACACCACTGTGTCATCAGCAAACATTACAATGGTGTTGGAGCTTATGGAATGTCAATTGAGCAATAGATTCCAGTCTACCATCCCAACCATCTTTGGAAAACCCGTTAAGAGCTTGGTGAAAATGTTCTAGAGCACACTTAAAGATGGAGCAGCTGTTCCTTGTGAGGAGCTTGAGGGTCGGCTGAAGAAACTGGCAAAAAAGGTATTTTGAGAAATGTTAGAATGGTTATACTAACATGGCATCCTGCCAAGAATTCTTTGGCCCCTGCTGATTTATGAGTGCCTCATATCCACCACTGAGGGTCAGTCTCAGAAGAAGAGTTTGACCAGCATAGTTGTCTATGGAAATAGCGGCAAATTAAGGCTCGTCTTGAAATCCATTCTGGAGGAGTTCAAGGTTTTGTGCATCAGGAAACTAGTACAGTACAATGAATCAATTACTCCATGATGCAGATGTGAACAGATGGTAACATGCACTGTTCTGCTGTGCTATATACAAATATCAAAAATAAATAAGGATTATATATTTACAGTGTGGGTTATTGCACGTATTAAATATTGCACAGTAGTGATGGTAATTTGCATAGTCTGTGTATAGAGGGTTGGGGGTCAGTGCGTGTGAGTTCAGGGTGGTTATGGCTTTTGGAAAGAAACTGTTCTTGAGTCTGTTAGTCTTTGTACTGATGCACCTGTAGCACTTTCCTGAGGACAGCAGTTTGAACAGGTCAAAACCAGGGTGGGAGCTGTCCTTGATGATGCTCTCTGCTGAGCTCTGCTCTGCTGAGCAAGCCAGGGAGGTATAAATGTCCATCAGGGAGGGGGGAGGGCAGCAAATGATCTTCTGTGCTGCCTTGGTAAATGGCCTGTATTTGTATAGCGCTTTACTAGTCCCTAAGGACCCCAAAGCGCTTTACATATCCAGTCATCCACCCATTCACACACACATCCACACACTGGTGATGGCAGCTACATTGTAGCCACAGCCACCCTGGGGCGCACTGACAGAGGCGAGGCTGCCGGACACTGGCGCCACCGGGCCCTCTGACCACCACCAGTAGGCAACAGGTGAAGTGTCTTGCCCAAGGACACAACGACCGAGACTGTCCAAGCCGGGGGTCGAACCGGCAACCTTCCGATTACAAGGCAAACTCCCAACTCTTGAGCCACGATCGCCCGATACTGTGATGAAATCTGTTCCCCACTGCTATGTAATACATTATTGTAAATTAAAAGTCATTAGGAAATGATCAGACAAAAGAGGATTTTCAAGAAATACTATTAAATGTTCAGTTTCTATGCCATGTCTCAGAACAAGATTTAGAGTGTGATTAAATGATGAGCAGGAGGTGTAAAGAACACAGTTTTGTGGAGCAGTCAGGGAGGAATCATCTACTTCTGAATGTGAATAAGACCAAAGCTTTGGTGATCGACTTTAGAAGGTAGAAGACGGATCCATCCCAGGTCAGGATTAGTTACAAGACCAACACAAAAGTATACAAATGGATAAGCAGGTTACCTGTGGCTTCAGCAGGGCTGGACCGGAACCAAAAAAAAGAATAGGTTTTTTTTTTTTTAATCAAATGTTTATAAAAACCTGACATATACCTTCTGTCACCATGTATTATCTCTGTCAAAGCTCTCACTTCTGAATGTATTGATTCCAGCGGCACATAAGATACATTTGTACATATAGCTCCACGGTAAGGCATGAAAAGTTGAAACATTACTTGTAACAAACATTTGATTTGCAAATGTCCATCTTGGAAGTCTAAGCAAAATTCTAAATGCACCCTGAAAGTCTACCTGCAGTTTTTTCATTATGACTTGACTATAATTACACCAAATGAGTCATATAGAAAGAGGTACAATAGGCTTGAAAAAGAGCCACTTTAACATCATCTGTGCACATGTAAAATTTACGTGCCTGGGTTGCTTTAGCTGTATGTTTTGGGTCATTGTCCATCTGTCCATTGTCCATCCAAGTAACTTCTTCAGTCTCAGCTGAAGAAGGGAAACCTGC